AGGTGAAATTATGTGGTGGCAATACTTGTGTGTTTAAGGTTTTTTAGGTTGTTGTGGTGATGGGTTGATTCTGTCAGTCAGGTTCGGGTTGTTGTTGTTTTTTGTTTTTAATAGAGGGAGTTTTAGGAAACATGGACATGTCTAAGAGGGGGCCCATGATTTTTGTAACAGTGCACTTAGAGAAAACCTGTCAGGTGATTTTGTTTTGTGTTTTCATGAGCTAATAATCAGCTCTATTTTTTCTCATTTTTGTTCTAAGCAGGCCTGAAACAGTGAATAAGAACGCTGACAAATTCTCGGGAAGAGTAAGAATAAGGTGGGCTTTCCAGATTACAACTGGCCAAGGGGAAAGCTACCTGTGGGGACTGATGAGGTCGTAAGTCCCTGTTTAAAAGGATTGTAGCGTGTCAATCCAGTCCAAAAGCATAAAGAAATATTTTCCTATGGAAAATAAAAAATGAATGAGCTCATTTTGCTGAGGGTGGAGAATCTGATCACTTGCGCAGAAAGCTCCACTATTAGCAAAAAATATGGTGTGACAGCATGGGAGTGAATGTGTGGCAGGATGTGGGGATGAATAAATGTGGACAAACAATTTGCGTATGGTAAAACTGAAACTGTTATTTTATGTGAAGGTTAAAGGATTAAAGTGAACTGAATCCTGTTTAGTAGATACCAGGCCGGTGTTTTAAAGCTGTATACAAATCTTAGAGGGAAATTGTGGGACACGTTGACAAAAAGATATGTTTTGGGGAAAATTGGTGAAGGTTGTAGGAGTAGAAAAGGTTTGATTTCTTTTTTGATTTCTAGAAGTGGTTATAATGTAGGCTTACATACAGATATTACATAGATTTATTTTTAGGATAAAGGGGAGAGCTTATAAGTAGAAGTGATTTTTATACATATTGCATTTTGTGCTTTTAAAGGAGTTGTGGCTCAATTCATCTCTTGAGGGTCACGAGCCTTTGGCTAGCGCTATGATTAGCCAATCTACTGTGAGGATGAAATGTGAGTTATTAAAGGATTGCACACGCTTACAGACACAGAGTCCAGAAACACACATGACAGTATGGATTCCAGGCAAAAGGCCTCAAATTCATTTAGCTTTTAACTGAACTTAAAGAAGGACCAAAGAGGAAGGAAAGCATGTATTTTGGTTAAGTCTGATAAATTAGAACTAGAAGGTATTTTTACATTAGAATGAGCAAAATGAAATAAAAAGGCTATACCGAAAACAGGTTATAACATAGGATATGTGAGGTTAAAATGAAGTTAGTGTTAACACACAGGAGTTGTTTCTAGGCAGCATTTAGCTATGATGAGATGTATGCAGGAGTAATTGCTTATATGGTTAAACTTAATTGATTAAAGTGGTTGTTTTGTTTTGGAGCTTTTAGTAGAATAGGCGCTTATAATGATTTTCGTGTTAAGAAGGTGGCTTTAGGTCAGAGTGAAGGAACTTGCAGCAGCAACAGTTTGTGTACAGGAAGTTGATGATCAGATAAGGGAAAATAGAGCGAGCAACCGAACGTGAAAGCAGCGCTTAAAGATTTTTAAAATGATGAGTAACATTGAAGAATATATATATAAATACAACTCAATAAGTTAAAAACATAATTAGGATCAGGCTTTTGATTACAGAAGTCCCAAATGTGATAAGTTAGGGAGATGCAGGAAAAGGTGTTTTGTTTCCTTTGCAGAAGATCTCGGCGACCACAGGGGGTGAGGATCCTGGAGGCCCGAGACAAGAGAGGGTCAGAGCGAGGACACATGTATTGCGACCTCTGGTGTTCCAGAGGTCGAGAGAGGGAGTGTGGAGCAGGG